TTAACCATTCACTTCGATTAAGCCTTAACTCAGCGTAGCGAGTTTACGAAGTTAATCTGTCGCTCATCTGACTGGAACTGCGGGGGCCGTCCTGGTCACATATATCGGGAAGGCAATCTCGTGAAAGTTAGAATTATAATGGTCAATCTAAAAGTACCATGTTATCATAACATCGCGTTGCGGCAGGTGCCATGATAACTAAATATAGTTTCAAGTAAGTCCTGATAATTAGTTGGTTCAATTTGTTTTCTTCGAGTTTATAATAACTTACAGAAAAAAAAGAAATGATGCTTAAATTATTAAGTTGGTTGTTGTGTCAGGTGAAAAATCTGAGCAGTCGCGAGAAGGGCCACGTCATGAAGGCAGGGGCGGGCAATCCAGTAGATCACTGCCGATACTAGTTCGCTACGGTATCGGACTTATGGAAGTGTCGTAGATGAAATCTATCGCAGATAGGACTGAAGCGACTACTGAGTTCGAAAGCGGCCGCGGGCTGTGCACCGTCAAGAAAACATAATGAACCCTTCTGCAGTGTATCACTTTTAAAGAGCATTCTTGGTGTGAATGAAGGAAACCAAGGGTTAACCCCAAACCTTCTTTCGAGAGTCCTGAGAGAGCTACGACGTAGGCTTTGGCACCTAAAGTAAAGAATACATCACGACTCGGTAACACTTAAGCCGCAGAAAGGCTTTCTGTGCTTAAAAACTTTTAAATCTGTATGGTCAGGGTAGGGGTGCTGTAAATAGCAGTCAGCACTACTTCGTACCTTGTTTAAAGTTGACTAAAACCTATGCAACAAAAGCAACATACATCCTACTGTGAGCAATACTTGCAGGTATGCAGATGTGAAACATGTCAAAAAACGAAAGTTCTTAATTGAGCCAAAATGTGCCCAAACATGGCATTTGAAACAGCGGTCGACGGCGTTCGTCGTATAGATACACATATAAAGTTGTTTTGGAGTAAAGAGGCCAACAGTAAGGCCTGCGCTAGCGGCAAACATTATTGGAATTCAGACTATATATTTGTCTCCTGATTCCACTATACTTGGATAAATAATTTTAGAAAACATGATGATTAAAGTAAATTTCACGAAGTTTCGTACTGAGATAGACAGCGGAACAATAAAGTAAACATGTGCATCATAGAAAAGTCTACGGTAAGCAGCAAACGTTCGCTCGGCGACGGTGGGTCGGCACGGCGCTGTGCCTACGCAGATGTGTTAATGCGTAACCCAAACTGTGAATCTGCAGCATCTCCGAGATGTCAAAAGGCGATCGCCCTGGCATCTAGCGGCGCGAGTACTGCGATCCCATAGGCTGGGCTTTCCAAAGGTCTCAAAGAATGGCAAACTGAAAAACAGTCGGCGTGGAGTGTCAACAATCCCCCGGGGCACCGCTCATGCAGCGAGTGCGTGGCGTGCGGTGGTGCGAAACTAGGAAGGAGATTGATATCTCATATTTATCTCAATTAATCTATATAATCAAATTTATCACAGAAGGGTGGGCCAAACAACATTGAGCGAAAGAAGTGATAGGCGACCTTACATGTGTATGATATATACATGTGAAAGTCACAATAACATGATGGTGTCGCAAGCCCTGTTTACCTCTGTTTGCCCAGTCTAAGATTGGTTGCCTTAAACTGCAGGCGAGCATGGACGCTGAAATTCCAAGTTTGTTGTGCAAGATTTCAGTTGGCACAACATTGAAACACAAGTAAGACATCCCTGTGGTGCTACGATTCGTGGAACTTTCGTTAGATATTGATGATAGGAGAGATGTGTTGTGAAAGTAGCAATACGAATACAATTGTAGTGGAATTTTTACAACATGGACGAGCGGCACAGAAAGGTAGAAATCGTATGCAGTTTGGAAAAAGTTTAAAAAAGACATCACTGTGACATGTACAATCATCAGAGGAAGAAGGAGTAGCACTCAAAGACCGAGATGTGACACAAGCGTTTAACCCTTTAAATTGAACTAGAAAGTTCGTAGGCTTAACCCCAACAGGCGAGAAATCGTAGGTACCGGTAAGCATCCTCCAATACCGACAAGGTCTCAGACCTTTAGTCTGTATGGATGAGATGAAGTCATTGAATGAATGAGCACCGCGTACGGGAGCGGCATAGAAAACCGGCACCCAAAAATGAGGCCAGCTCTGGCGTGACGTGCAATCTATAGTATTATTAATATATCTTACTGTACGCGGAGTTCTACATCTACACGTAGTGAGTGTCAAGAAATTCACTATATTAAATATCATAATGGTATGCCTACCCGACAAGAGAGATAATGGAATAACTAAGTGTAACAAGAAGTACAAAATAAACTAAAGTTAAAGAGAGCGAAATAAGGACGGCAACTAGAGCGGTTAAAATGATTCGCAAGACGCTAATAAATAAACTGACCGCAGATTGGTCAGCCGCGCAAAGCAAGCGAAGAAGGAACGCCAGCAAACGCACCTATATGGAACAAAAACTGGTAGTCTGACGCTTCCCGCACCCGATTACTCGATCTGACCTCGCCATCGATAACATAAGGACCGAAGAGCGTACCAGGGGTACAAGTCAGACATCATGCATGGTATCCTAGCCACGCCTCTACTGAACGGACAGCATTCTTGCGCTCACGAAGATCTTTGTCGCGTTCTTCATGTTTATGATAGGAAGCAGCGTGGTATTGAATTCCAAAACAAGTTAGTTCCTGTTGATAAGTAAGTACACTGTTATTTCAATTCCAAATATTACATCGGATTATAATTAGTCTGTAGAAATTAAAGCATATGGTTTTTAAAATGTATCGTATGTTCATACGGGTGACGGATGTTCACCACAGGCAAGGCACAGGCACGAAGTTGAAGCGTTCCAATGAAATACTAATTAATGCATAAAATGCTAACTAAATACGAAATCTTATTTACACGCAACTTCTAATGTTCTATAGCTCTCTCTTTCAGCGCATTGATTGCCGCGACAGTTTCCTGTCAATGCTCCGTCCAAAACTCCTACGTCCACACCATACGCTGGCCGCACCCATGCTTTCGCGGCGCGACCTGTTGCACGCAATACACAATAACAAGTCTTACACTAGAGAGCTAAGAGAGAATGACTATAGCAGGTAGAAAGCGCGGAATCGCAAAATCTCGAGCGGTCGACGGTTCGCTGATTTACAGCTTTCACCAGCCATCAATACAGCATCAAACGAGCTTCCATCTGTGTTCTTCTTGCACACACAGTGTTCAGCTTGTTAAAAAACAATACTGTCTCTGTCGTAACCGAGCTGTGTCACGCGAAATGCTGGCTGTCAGAAATCAGGCTAAATAGACTGGGACCTCGCTCGCCACCGTCGATTAACGCATCGAGTAGAAACTAAGCCAGAGGCGAGAGGTGGAGGCGACGTGCCAGTCTAAAAATTGACTATAGGTGGGGCCGCGCGCGAGGGCGCGGCAACCTGCTTACCAACTCCCCGTACGGAGCCTGCGCCATTGAACGTGCAAAAACGTGCAGCGTCTGCGGCGCAAGAAAAGTCACAAGAGCGCCGTAGTGTTTCTGATTTAGCAGGCCATTTACATTACGGGCAAGTCCGCGACACAGAAGAATAAGGGCGAGAAACATTTCGGTCAGGCTCTTGTGGATTTCGCATGACACGGCTCGTGACGAACAGAGACATTTATGTTTTCATAAGCAAGGTGAGAGCACTGTTGTTGACATAGAAACAAAGATGGCAGCCGTTGGATCGTGATTCGTGGCTGTAAAAGTGGAAAATCCCATTCGAGCGTCGGAGCGAGTTTTGCGCATCGACCGCTTTCCTACCATGCAGTATATAATTAGTGTAGAAACGTCGGGCAATAATAGGTTGAAAGAGAGTAATACGACCTCCTCCTTCTCCAACACCTCCCTTCTCCCCTCCTCCTTCTCCACCAGCTTCTCCCCTCCTCCTTCTCCACCACCTTCTTCCTTCTCCCCTTCCTCCTTTTCCACCAGCTTCTCCCTTCCTCCTTCTCCACCACCTTCTCCCCTTCCTCCTTCTCCACCAGCTTCTCCCCTCCTCCTTCTCCACCACCTTCTTCCTTCTCCCCTTCCTCCTTCTCCACCAGCTTCTCCCTTCCTCCTTCTCCACCACCTTCTCCCCTTCCTCCTTCTCCACCAGCTTCTCCCTTCTCCCCTTCCTCATTCCTAGCCATATTGAGTCGGTCTGTCATACGGCCGCCGTGCGTATAGCCATATTTTGAGTCGGCCACACGGCCGCCGTGCGTATATAGTCACTTCCGTGTTGGAGAGAGCAATAATAAACTGCTTCTGTCCGTATTTTTGACAAATGGCTAATGTGACGGTGGCAGTCTCAGTTAACCAATGCTAATTTTTGCTACTGCGCTTTACACCCAGCACCTCGTGCGCATGCGTGGCGCATGCGCAGTAGCGCTAGGGTAATTTCAGACTGGGGGTAATCTCAGACCGTGACACCGGCAGCGTATGGTTGGACGTAGGATTTGGACGGAATTGACAGGAAACTGTCGGCAATAATAGGTGAAAGAGAGTATAGAAACATTAAGAAGTTGGTAGTAAATAGATTTCGTATTTAGTTAGCATTATGATTAATTATATTTCATTGAAACGCTTCAACTTCAAGTGCCTGTGCCTGTGCCTGTGGCTGTGGTGAACATCCGTCACCCCGTATGAACTACCGATACATTTTAAAAACAATAGTTTAATTTCTAGATAATTATGATCCGATGTAACATTTGGAATTGAAATAACAGTTACTTACTTATCAACAGGAACTAACTTGTTTTGGAATTCAAATACACGTGCTTATAATCATAAACATGAAAGAACCGCGACAAAGATCTTCGTGAGCGCAAGAATGCTGTTATGTTTATAGAGGGTGCTAGATACCAGCATATGTCCTAGACTGGTACCCGGTCCCACCTCTCGGCTTAGTTACTCGATGGGAGGTCAGATCGAGTAATCGGGGTGGGAGCGAATACCAGTCTACATATGTCCATATAGGTGGCGTTGCTGGCGTTCCTTCTTCGTTGTTTGCGGCTGACAATCTTGCGAGTTCAGTTTATTTATTAGGTCTGCGAATCATTTTAACACGTTAGTGCGTCTTATTGGTATATTTAACTTAGTTTATTTGTATTCTATGTTAACTTAGTTATTCATTTATTTTGTCGGTAGGCATACCATATGATATTATATATAGTAATTTCTTGACACTCAATCGTGTAGACTGTAGACTCCGTACAGTAGATAATATTAATAATACTAATAGATTGCACGTACGCAGAGCTGCCTCATTTTTGGGTGCGGTTCATGGGGTGCTCATTCATTCAATGATTCATTAGATAAGACTAAAGAGTGAACTTTGTCGGTATTGGGATGCTTACCGGTACATAGATTTCTGCCTGTGGTAAACCTACCCGAATTTAGTTCAATTCAAAGGGTTAAACGTGCACATCGATTTAGTGTCTCCTTCCTTCTCTGATGATGACATGTCACATTGATGTTTGGTTTAAAACGGCATGTTCTCGCAGCAAAATGCATAGATATACCTTCTGTGAGCTCGTCCATGTTGTAAAAATTCACTACAACTTATTCGTATTGCTACTTTCACAACAACATTTCTTCATAAAATCTAAACGAAAGTTACGAATGTAGCACCACAGGATGTTTACTGTGTTAATGTTGTGCCCAAACTTGAAATCTTGCACAAACTTGGAATTTCAGCGCATCCGCAGTTTGGGCAACCAATCTTGAGATTGGGCAAACAGAGGTAAACAGGGCTTGCACACACATATGATTATTAGGATTTCAAATGTTATATCATAAATTTGTGCCCAACTGTTGACGGACGACCGGACGGACGGACGGACGGACGGACGATCAAGCGATTCTACAAGCTGCATCTGACTATGTCAGATGAGCTAAAAATTAGTAGTACTTGCATTTTTACTTCGCAGGACTTCTCGTGGTTACAGAATGGGCAAGTGAATTGTGTCTCCAGTGGTTGAATTGTCTTGGATTTCGCTGGAGGTTTCCTCTTGCTTCTTCTACGACCCATCCTGCCACAAGACAATTTTGTGAGAGCAGAGTACAGACGTGAGAAAGTAACATACATTATTATATTCAACAGAAAACACGGGCCATTTCAATAAAAACATTACAGTAAATAAATACAGAATTGTTACTTGAACAAGTTAAAACATACGGCTATGGATAGATAAAAATGCAGAGGCCGTTGTTTGTGTATATTGGCTTTGAAGGTGTGGAAAGAAGCGAATTAAAGTGAAACCTCGATTTTACACGCCCCGATTTAAGTTTTAACGCGAATTCGGATATAACGCAATGAGTCATTGGACCTTTTTTTTGCTCTTTCCGGAACTGGAAAGTTTTTTGGTGAGTTAAGCCGGCCTTAGGTCGAAGCGCCGATCGCCTTTAGATCGCGCAACTAAATGAGTTTACATGACTTGTTGCTGTGTGCTTATTGTGTACATGACTGTATGCATTGATTTTCTTGAACCATGAATTAGCGCGCCGCGACTTTTGTTCGCGATGACATTTTATGGACTTCAACGATCGCATTATAACGGGGCCACACTGCCTATGTGAATTTTCTATTTTGGAATTCATGCATTTCCCACCTGCTCAATCTTTTTGTGAGTTTAAGCACTGGCAGCATTGGCGTGTGTGCAGTGACACTGTGTGTTGCAGATAAACATTTGAACATAAAATGTATGAATTTTACATACATTAGTATAAAATTAAAATACAACTTGTGTTTATTCACCATCATTCATTATTGAAACGACTCAAGCCAAATTCCCATGTTGGTGGGAAGAACCACAGGCACTTGGAACGTTTCAACAACAAAATGTTATAAACAATAAACACGAAATGTATTTACTACCAGTCTTAAGGTCAAGACACACTGCAGTGACAGCAACCGACCATAACGACAAAAGTCGCGGCAACTGGCGCAAACACACTGCAGCGACAGCGACCGACGTTAGATCAAAGTTCACCCAGCACTTGCCACAGTGGCACACATCATCACATAAACAAACAGAAAAAACTCCTGCTGCTGCTTTTAAATAACATGCTGCAAAAACTCTCTTCTAGGTATAAGGATAAGATAATAAAGTAAAATATACACAACAAATTATCATGTTATTGTACTGTACGTACGTACTGTGTCATAGCTTGCACGCTTTGGTTAGACTGGTTCGCGGCATTGTTTGTGACATGCGGCGCGAATTTAGCACCGGAGACCAGTCTACGTCTTGGCATTATTGGGCATTTGCCGATGGAAATGGCTGCGATTGGCTATTTGTAAAGTGTCGCGCGCGACTGTCGCTGGAAATTAGAAACGTTCCTAAATATTTTTGTCGTCGAGGTTGTCGCCGGTCGTTGTCGCGTGTGTGTGCAATGGCTCATAGGAAACATAGTTTCTAATTTTCTGAAAAGTCGTTTGTCGTTACGGTCGGTCACTGTCGCTGCAGTGTGTCTTGGCCTTTAAGTTTAACGTTTCTCTACTCTCTTTCGCCTATTATTGCCGATAACTTCCTGTAAATACCGGACAAATGCTCCTCTACAACACACAAGTACGTCACTGTGCTCAAGCAACAGGAATAAAGAGCAGGTGGGAAAGCATGATAGCAAAATTTGCACAATGCTCGCTTCGTTTCACACTATCACAGCA